CACTCTTTGGGTCTCGTCCCATATTGTTCTCTAATCGAGTCTAATTAATTTCGTGCACCATTAAAATTAATTAGAATTATGAAAAAAATAGGAAATAAGGAATGCGGACTTCACAAACCTTCACCCTTCTAATTGGGTTGTCATATATTATAGATATGGATAGATACAAATGAAAAGACATCACGTGTGGAAAAATGAGAGAAAGTTACCGAGTACATATGTGCGTGGTCGGGGGCTAAAGGGCCATGGTACTCCTGATATTTTAGAAAAGTTTTCAGTGTAATTAAACAATTTTCTGTTTTTACATGTAACGATGGTGGGATACAAGAGGCAGTGGTAAGGTGATAGTGATAAGGGCAATAATGGAGTGAGGTGATGGTGGTGGGGGGAAATTGGATGAAATGGACGTGGGTGGTGGGGGTTGGGATAACATAGCCGCAATCAAATGTTTGAGGGAGTGGCAAAATTAGAAAATAAATAATGTTTGAACTTTATTTCATAGCATTGATAACAATAATATTATTTAGGTATAATTTGTTAATTTAATTCATCACAACCGTTTATTTGTTACAAATCCTAACAAATATTAAGATTGACCGTTAATATAATAACTATAAGTGATAAGGTCAATAAATTAAGTCAAAATAGAATTGTTCTACCGATAAAATAGTTTGACGCAATTAATTGAATTAACTGTTTAAATATTTTAGCATTCGACACTTAAAATATAACATTCGATTTTTAGTAATTTATTTTTAATTGTAACAAATAGTATTTTCAATAAGATAACTAAGCAAACAGTATAAAAAAAATGTATCTAGTGCACGAAAATTCAGTCATTGCAGGGTTTGGGAAAAATTAGATTTAGACATTCTTGCGCTTATAAGTAGGCATGCCAATGAATTGGATTCTGGTACGAATTCACATTTGATTAGTCGAATATTGATTAATTTTTTTTATCGATAATCCAAATCAAAATTTGAAGTCATATATTTTACGAATTCGAATTTAAATATACTTATATTTGATCCGATTATGATCTGATCTGAATTATGTATATATTTTTATATAAATATTAAAAAATTAAGTGACAATTTGAAGAAATTTAGGTAAGTTGGTTAAAATTTTAATTAAGTTATTCGGATTGGATTCTAAATTGTTATCGGATTCGATTATTGATCACGGAAATAAAATTCGTCAGATTAATGAATTGAATATTTGAAATTAGATTTGAATTCGGATCATTCAAATCTGATTCAAACTCGATCCGTTGATAACCCTACTTATAAGTAGAGAGACTGTTTTACAACTCAAACTCGTGACCTAGATCACAATAAATTACCTTACCATTGCGTTAAAAGTGGTATCAAAACTAAGCAAACACTATTTAACCAAAAAAGAAAAAACATTCATACGCCAAAATGTAATGAAGCAACCAAGAAACAAAGCATCAAAAAAAAAAAATGTCAAACCCATCATTGATAATTTGATACAATCTCCCAAGAAGATAGATCTCCGCCCTCACACGTGTGAACAGCCGATTGACTTATTAGTACGAGCACTGTTATAGGGATCTCATTAAAAAATTCAATTTGAAAATTTAATTTAATAATGTGACTTTAACATAATTATTATGAATTTTAATATTAGATAAAACTTACAACTAATTCAATGATTGTACATTATTAAATCTCTAAATTAAATTCTCAAATTATCTCCAAATAATATTTTTCTATTAGTAATATATATACTCGTTACTCACAATGCAAAACAATCAAAAAGAAAACTAACAATTACTAAACTTACAAACACCGAATTTCACCACGAAAACCAACACTAGTAAACATTTGACAAGAGGGGCATTGGCCAATTAAAGCCGAATGGCATCCTATGCAGGTTGGCTGTGGTCATAAATGTGTGAACACTAAATATCAAAAAATGGGATTTTGCCCGATCCGTCCTGTCAATTTGGTGGATACCAATAATCCACCCTTGAATCATCCACCATTCCACCTTATGACTAAAATTTTTTGTGGGAATTAACCAACATTTGATGTCACCTAAAAAAAAATGAATCTATAAATGATTTAACTTAATCGAAATTAACAAAATCAGACCGAAAAGATCATCACCCATAATTATTTTTCTCAATTAATAGAAAATAATGATACAAGCATCAATCAATATGATCAATATAGGATCTGTTTGGAACTGATTTTTTTGAGTGCGAAAACGAGGTTTGAAAAGTGAAATTAAAAACTCAATTAAAAAAGTTTTTCAAACCGTTGAGAATATTTTAGAAAAAATCGGGTCTTGTTTGATTTGTTTCTCAAAAAACTATTTGTAGGAAGAGTTTTTTAAAAAAAAAATTGTGTTACAAAATTTGTTTAGTAATATGATACCAAAAACAATTCTACGGAATACAAATCAATAAAACTTGTTTGAACAGTAACCCAAAAAATAATAAAAATATAAATGTGATGGTGGTAGTGTGATGGATGTGGTGGTGGTGGTGGTGGTGGAAGTGTGGTTATGATGGAAGTGTGGTGGTGGTGAAAGTATGGTAGTATTTTCTAAATTCTGAAAATATTGTTTCTAAAAACACACAAAATAGCTCTAATTTGTTCTTTAAATTTATCAAATCTTTATTCTCAATTTTCAAAAATTAAAAAATGAAAAACAAAAAACAATAGGCCAAACAGCTTTTCTTTCAAAAATTGTTTCTGCTTTTGACCTTAACATTTCATTGGATAAGTCTAATTTTTCACTTTTTCCTTTAAAACTGATGAAAAAAGCCAGTCAATAAACCCGACTCTAAACATATCAAGTTTCTTTTTCTTTGTATCTTCTAAGAGCTAAAGTTTTCAACCACCTGACCCACATCCAAACAGGCCTGTATTAGTAGGTATAAAACCCCAATTTTTGAAGATGCGCACCTTTTTATTTTCTTTTGTACCTTTTGTTTTTTTATTTTACAAAAAGTTAGGGGGCGTAGAAGAGTACTTAGAGATCACCCTAATAAACCCTCACTTGTGAAATTATGAGACTCTTGACTATGTCCGTTAATTATCTCGAGAATGAATTTAACTAGACTAATATAACGGTCGACTATCGAATTTCAATATAAATTTCAAAATTCGAACCTCTAATGGTAAGGCGAGAAATTTGACTAATAACTTCCTGGACTACCCTCACTCGGTGGTTCATTTGTATCTTTTTAGACATGGCGAATCCTCCCAATTATTCATCTTTTGTATTCGTGTGATAACAATGCGTGGATGCATAAACAACCGTTGATATGATATTCAGCGTGTTGACGAAAGCGGTTCACTCCAACGAGATGTGGACCAAAATGGTCATGGTCATGGTCATGGTGGTCAAACGTCAATTTTTCTTTTTTCATTCCCCTTTTTTTCCCCCACCAGAAAATTGGGCATAACGACAACAGAATTGCAACATTAAAGCTAAAACAAACGTGCACAATGTGAACACCTGTATGCCTAGTCATACAAAGCATGCAACATCATGAAATTAGTCCAAAAAAATATGCTAGAGTGATAGTTCTTTGGAACTCCCTATTCATTCAATAATTTTGATTAATTAAATTAATAAGTGACTTTCATTAATATTCAATAATAAATATTGTGTCACACAGTATTGTCTATTGATATGGTTGATCGGAGTTATACCTTGAATCATCCACCAATGGGAGTGTTCCTCCAAGAGAAGTCAAGGATCAAAGAGATTCCAATGGTCGGCACTTAGATTATAAACTCATAAAAAAATGATTGAAAGCAATAATATTTAGTTGAGCGTAGTTAATCTATCTCCATGGTGTCCAATTTTACTTTTTTATAAGCCAAAAGATTGAATCGTTGTAAGATCTTTAATTGTTATTTGAATGGGGCAACACCAAAAATAGAATAGATGATAGTCCCTTATAATGGAGATATCTTAACTAGTTTAAATTAATTAAAGCATGCAGAGCTAAGGAACTACCGAGTTGGGACGTTAGTGAGTTGGCGAGTAAGGAGTTAAACATTGGGCCTTTCCGAGCTATGAAGCTCCTCATCTAAGCCCCAAAACTCTTTTGTCGAGCTTATGCTTAATTTTTCATTATCAGTAACCGTTCAATTAGCAACATATCTTAATGTTTTGCTTGGTACGATAAAAAAGTGGATGAATGAAAAAATAAAATGATGAAAAATTAAAAGAATAAAATAAAATATCATATTTGATAAAGAAGAGAAATGAGAATGCTGAAAAATAGAAAAATTATTTTTCCTCCCAACTCATCAACATTTATTTTTCCAAAATTAGAAGAAAAATTGATGAAAGGATAAGTTAAAATATTTGTTATTTACTTTTATATTGCTTAATATATACATATATTTTATTTCTCTATTACATATCATTCAAACATTAATTTTATACATAAATACAATGATAAAATATGCATTTTTATTTTTTCTTTCTTTTCACTTTTTCATTCCTATCAAACAAACAAAAAACAAACAAACATAATTTCTCTCCATCCTTTCTACTAAAACACAAAAGAAAAAAAAATGAAAAATTGTTTCATTGAATGATAAAATATGTATGAGGTATGTTTTTTTATCTATCTTTCTCGCTAAACACACCATAATATTGTATGGGGTCCACATCAATTCAATAATATTATTTAATTTTGTAAGCAACACTGCAAAAAATAAAATTTATTGTAATGTAATTCCATAGAATTCATAAATAAAATACGTGAAATATTATTAAAAATAGATATTTTAGATGCAATGAAAAAGAATACAGTAACTGGGGTGGGTGAGTGTTTTCTTATAATAAAAACCATATAATTTATATTGGGAAACTCATTTTTTGACAACGTAATCAAACCCATGATACAGAATCTTTGGAGGAGCCGACCCATGCACTAAACTTTCGAGATTTGAGACATGAAATGCATGAGCTAGTGGAACCATGCCCGGTCCCGACGCCCCTAGTGCGCAGCTGTATTAGCTAAAGAGTCAAATGATTGATTAGCCTCTCTTTATAAAAGCGATTTGGGTGTTCTTGGGAAAAGGGTGCGATACTTCGTGGTCGGAGATATCCACCATAAATACACCATAAATTGGTAAAGCTAACCGAGCGTTAACCACATCTCTCTCTCTCTCTGGACTTTTGAGTGTATACAACTATTGTTCAAGAAAGGAAGACTAAAGATGGTAGCAGAGATGGAGGTGGAAATGGAGAGGGGGAGTTCTTCAGGTCAGAGTGAAGAGAACCAGAAACTAGTTCCAAGAAGACGAAAGGGCGGCATCGTAACCATGCCATTCATCTTAGGTACTTCTATTCACGAGCTTATATGTCCATGATTTGTAAGAAATGAGCTAACTTTGAGCTTCTTGTTACTGATTTCTTGCATTTTTTTTTTGTTGGGTGATACAGCAAATGAGTCGTTTGAGAAAGTGGCTAGCTATGGGTTGTTGCCAAACATGATATTGTATCTGATCACAGAATACAAGATGGGGGTTACCCAAGGGACCGACATACTCTTTTACTGGTCAGCAGCTACCAATTTCATGCCAGTGGTTGGGGCTTTCGTAGGTGATTCTTACTTTGGTCGTTTCCTCACCATTGGTATTGGTTCTATCATCAGTTTCACGGTAATTTAATGACTTTTTCCCTCAATTTCTTCTTTGTGCAGTGTAATAGTAAGTTCCAGATCAATGTTCATGATATTGTACCTAATTCAACTGAAAATTTGATAGTACCCTTTTTATCAAGCATTACTGTCTTTTTCTTTCTTTTTTGCGTACTGGGTGGTTGTTCTTTTATAGCAATAAATACTCAATTCAGTTGAATCAGTTTGGGAATTTCAAGTTGAAACACACTTAGCAAATTTTCTTTGCAATTACAGGGGATGGTCCTCCTTTGGTTGACGGCGATGATTCCGGGGGCAAGGCCTGCTTCGTCTTGCAAATCAGCAGCAGGGGTAGGCTGCAAATCAGCCTCACCAGCCCAGTACGGTCTCTTGCTTTCCTCATTTGCAATCATGTCCATTGGAGCTGGTGGCATTAGACCATGTTCCATAGCATTTGGTGCAGATCAGATCGACAAAAAAAATCCCAACTATGAAAGGGTATTGGAGAGCTTCTTCGGCTGGTACTATGCCTCAGCACTTATTTCAGTTATGATTGCTTTAACAGCAATTGTTGCGATTCAAGATAGCATGGGATGGAAAGTGGGTTTTGGAGTTCCTGCAATTCTTATGTTCTGCTCGACTATATTGTTCTTCGTTGCTTCTCCTCTTTATGTCAAAATGAAAGTCTCCAAGAGCTTGTTCATTGGGTTGGCACAGACTATAGTGGTTACTTTTAAGAACAGAAAACTTGCCTTCCCACCTCAGGACTCAACTGGGTCTTACCATCACGAGAAGGATTCAGAACTTGTAGCGCCATCTGCTTACCTAAGGTACCATTCGAAAACATGTGTTATTGTGTATTTTAGCAGAAGTTTTAGTAGCAATTGTTTTCCATTTTTGCTTTTTGTTTGTTTCTTGTCGGATTTGCTCCCTTCCTACAACCTTATATCAACTTAATTTTGGTATACATATATGTATGTGTGTGTGTGTGTAGTGAAGGTATCATCACCATTGTTGTACCTATTGTTGCCATAGTTGTCACTCTGCATCTTCATTTGAGCTTGTTCATATTTTTTGATAGAATTCTGGTTGATTTGTTCTTTTAGGTTCATAAATAAAGCTTGCATCATTAAAAATCCAGAAGACATTACCCAAGATGGAATAGCTGCAAATCCATGGAGTCTTTGCACTGTCCAGCAAGTTGAAGAGTTAAAAGCACTCGTCAAAGTCATCCCAATGTGGTCTACTGGAATTATGTTATCAATAAACATGAGTCAGAGTTCGTTTCCTTTGCTTCAAGCCAAATCCATGGACAGACGTTTCATTTCAAACTTTAAAATTCCGGCAGGCTCCTTTGGAATGTTTACAATTGCCTCTTTATTTATCTGGGTGGTTCTCTANGGGTTGTTGCCAAACATGATATTGTATCTGATCACAGAATACAAGATGGGGGTTACCCAAGGGACCGACATACTCTTTTACTGGTCAGCAGCTACCAATTTCATGCCAGTGGTTGGGGCTTTCGTAGGTGATTCTTACTTTGGTCGTTTCCTCACCATTGGTATTGGTTCTATCATCAGTTTCACGGTAATTTAATGACTTTTTCCCTCAATTTCTTCTTTGTGCAGTGTAATAGTAAGTTCCAGATCAATGTTCATGATATTGTACCTAATTCAACTGAAAATTTGATAGTACCCTTTTTATCAAGCATTACTGTCTTTTTCTTTCTTTTTTGCGTACTGGGTGGTTGTTCTTTTATAGCAATAAATACTCAATTCAGTTGAATCAGTTTGGGAATTTCAAGTTGAAACACACTTAGCAAATTTTCTTTGCAATTACAGGGGATGGTCCTCCTTTGGTTGACGGCGATGATTCCGGGGGCAAGGCCTGCTTCGTCTTGCAAATCAGCAGCAGGGGTAGGCTGCAAATCAGCCTCACCAGCCCAGTACGGTCTCTTGCTTTCCTCATTTGCAATCATGTCCATTGGAGCTGGTGGCATTAGACCATGTTCCATAGCATTTGGTGCAGATCAGATCGACAAAAAAAATCCCAACTATGAAAGGGTATTGGAGAGCTTCTTCGGCTGGTACTATGCCTCAGCACTTATTTCAGTTATGATTGCTTTAACAGCAATTGTTGCGATTCAAGATAGCATGGGATGGAAAGTGGGTTTTGGAGTTCCTGCAATTCTTATGTTCTGCTCGACTATATTGTTCTTCGTTGCTTCTCCTCTTTATGTCAAAATGAAAGTCTCCAAGAGCTTGTTCATTGGGTTGGCACAGACTATAGTGGTTACTTTTAAGAACAGAAAACTTGCCTTCCCACCTCAGGACTCAACTGGGTCTTACCATCACGAGAAGGATTCAGAACTTGTAGCGCCATCTGCTTACCTAAGGTACCATTCGAAAACATGTGTTATTGTGTATTTTAGCAGAAGTTTTAGTAGCAATTGTTTTCCATTTTTGCTTTTTGTTTGTTTCTTGTCGGATTTGCTCCCTTCCTACAACCTTATATCAACTTAATTTTGGTATACATATATGTATGTGTGTGTGTGTGTAGTGAAGGTATCATCACCATTGTTGTACCTATTGTTGCCATAGTTGTCACTCTGCATCTTCATTTGAGCTTGTTCATATTTTTTGATAGAATTCTGGTTGATTTGTTCTTTTAGGTTCATAAATAAAGCTTGCATCATTAAAAATCCAGAAGACATTACCCAAGATGGAATAGCTGCAAATCCATGGAGTCTTTGCACTGTCCAGCAAGTTGAAGAGTTAAAAGCACTCGTCAAAGTCATCCCAATGTGGTCTACTGGAATTATGTTATCAATAAACATGAGTCAGAGTTCGTTTCCTTTGCTTCAAGCCAAATCCATGGACAGACGTTTCATTTCAAACTTTAAAATTCCGGCAGGCTCCTTTGGAATGTTTACAATTGCCTCTTTATTTATCTGGGTGGTTCTCTACGATCGGGTAATCCTCCCGCTTGCATCAAAGCTGAAAGGAAAACCAGTGCGTCTTGGTGTCAAAGAAAGAATGGGGATTGGACTATTTTTCTCCACCATGTCCATGGTAGTTTCTGGTATAGTGGAAAATATTCGACGGAGAAAAGCAATCGATCAAGGGCTTCAGAACAATCCTAATGCAATTGTGGACATGTCTGCTATGTGGCTTGTGCCACAATATGCATTGAGTGGAATAGCTGAGGCTTTCAATGCCATAGGCCAGACAGAGTTCTATTATACTGAGTTCCCAAGGAGTATGTCAAGCATTGCCTCATCTCTTGTTGGGTTAGGGATGGCTGTGGCAAACTTGTTAGCTAGTGTAATACTCAACACTGTGGACAATGCTACAAAAAAACACGGGAAAGAGAGTTGGGTATCGACTAATATCAACCAGGGCCGCTATGAGAACTACTACTGGCTTCTTGCTGTAATGAGTCTTGTCAATATGGTCTATTTTGTGTTTTGTAGTTGGTTGTATGGACCTTTGCAGAAAACTTCCAGACTTCGAAGGAAAGATGATATAGAAAAGGAGGAGGAATGATCTCAACTAAAGCCTGGAGTTTGGGATGAATTATTGGAAGAACACTGGGAGAATTACTATTGGCTTCTTGACATGATGAGTTTTGTCAATTTGTTCTATTTTATTGTTTGTAGCTCTGGGTCCTGGACCTCTGCAGAAAAATTCCTAGCTTGGAATGAAGATTTTTTTACAGTAGGGAAGAGGAATGATCAGAAACTAGGGACAGAGAGTTCCAGATGATGAATAAAACAATACTAAGGAGACAGAGGAGTAAACTATAGTGTTAGCTATTGCCAGCTTGATTTGGTTGAGTGCTGGTATGATTGTTGTACCTATTGTATATCTCTATCTAGTTAGATAATATATTATTATAGTTTTTGGAATTTTCATCTCTCTTGTGGATCTTTTGCATAGATATAAATTGATTTGGTATTATTATTGTGATATCCGACAATTGTAGATTATTAGATGCAACAAAAAATGCTTTGAGAGGAGGAAAGAACTTTCATTAAGAGCTAACCAATGGAGATATGAAAATAGGATAAGACCAACTTATTCAACATGCAGAGAGGTTGTTTTTGCAATTCAAACTTTAACGTCTAGATCACAATGCAGCTATCATACCTTGCTCGGCTTTTTCCAATTTTGGTAGTTTTATCTGCCGTTCTGTATTTTGCCACAAAGGGCTTGGGTAGAATAACCCTTGTTAGAGCCTTAGAGGAATAAACAAGCATTGCCATACCAAATTTCAAAACAAAGCATGCTTTTCAAACGTATATTCCTTTTTAATGGTCGTTGGATCCTCAATTATTTCATGAATTACATGTAAGAGATAAATGCTTAAAGGCAAATCTTTGTGTTGTGGTGGTGGTGGTGGTGACAATGAACTTCTCATTATTGTGAAAGGGTTTCTTAGTGATGTGAGAGAATTTCATCCACTTAACTTGAAAAAGAAAAGAAAAGAGCATGGAATAATGGGCCCGAAGCAGCGGTTCAATTATAGAGGGCCCGGGGCCCAGTGTCTTCAGGGGAGACCCTTATTCAGACTAATTGATAGCACCATGTTTACCCATGAGTCAATTAAAGACGATGTAGTAGTGACCTTTGTGCCTACCTTGGTAATGCATTCACACCTCGTGCACCCCACGGCAGGGGGTGGGAGGAGTCAATGAGCGTGTTGATGAATGTTATTTATATTGTGGGTTATTTTGATAAGTAGTGTGGGTATAAGGATGCAGTACTGACACTTTTTTAAGTACGTCATAAAATAGGAATAAATTTAAGAGGTACGTTATTTTAAGTCAATTCATTTTGAAACTTTATTTAAATTATTTTTACTATTATATAACATTATATATATTATAGAACGTCTATAAACATTACGTCAATTACCATTTTCTATTTATGTAATTTAGATTTGTGTTATATGTTCCAAAATGAATTGATTTAAGGTTAATATTACAATTTGGAGTTATACTCATTGGTGATATGAATCACAAATTCACCCTCATTTAAAATCGATATACTCAAATCATAGGTCGTTAGAAATTTAATAAATTCTGATAACTATGTGCTTGACGTTTAACAAAGCAGCACAATGCGAGGAGAGAATATGGAAAGTTTACTCAATTGAGTCAATAATCTTTTACCCTTTGTTTGAAATTATATCGGGTCAAGTTACAATTTAAACCGGTTAAGTTATAATTTATCGGGATTGATTCTTACATGTCACAATTAATCCTAATTTTTTTTGGTACTTGCGGAAATATTTTGAGTAGGGTACCAATTGACATTTCCATGGAATGAACCTTTGGTTAAAGGCATTATCATATTATAGCTTGCTAGCTTGGCTATGTCTCTCGTAAACCGTAGTCATCATCCAAACCCTGCCTAATGCAATCATCTCTCCATTTTCTTTCTTCTTCACCTCTACCGCTGCTGACATTACCTGTCCTCTCTGTCCTACTACTTTTCCCTCTATCTCCACCTTTTCCTGCCACATACAAGTCATATTAATAAGATATACATACATATTTGTCTAATAAGTTATTAATACATATTTATTTAATAAGATACTAACACTTTACATTATGACAATGTACAAAAGTAAATTTGTGTAAAATCAATCAAGAATGAAGTAAAAAAGACTTAATACAAGAAAACACAAAAATTATGTAGTTCAATTTTGATGATCTAGTTTATTGAAAATGGCGACAATGATCGAAGAATCTTATTACTTGAGAGGTGTAGTATGCTCAAATATGTGTGATACCTGTCATGTATAGATGAGACTTACAATTTATAAGAGAGTGCAATCCTCAAGGCGCCCCAGAGCAGACATTGATTAAGGAGCTATCGTGGGGAGCCCTTATTAATGCGTCACTCTTGTGAAGAGAGTGGATGGCTCTATGATGTTGACATAATGGACGAGGTGGTTGAAGCTTACAATACGTACCCTGATTCCCTTCTTAAGATGGAGATCTCACATGCATCATTAGTAGACTAGATTTTTCAGGATGATGGACTTGGTCTGGGCTAGATTGCACCTATAACTTGGGTCTGATCTGTATTTCTAAATTGAGCCTCTGAGTTGGACCTAATCTATAATTCTAAATTGAGCCTAGTCTGGGTCGAGCCTGTCACATTTTATTCTCATATTTTTTTCGATAATTTCTATTACAATTTAAATTCCACGTGTTCCTAAATCCACTCAACTCCTCACCCAATCTTCTTAACATGCTCAGTACAATATTTTCACTCCAAGTAAAAAATTATAAATAGATAAAATAAACCCCATTATTTTTATAACTATCAGTAATCATTATATACAATCATCAACACATAAGATTAATAAGGTTCACTTTATCTTCTATTATTTTTCTAATTAGATGATGACACTATAACATAATGTTACAATTGCATTCAATATTTTCTCATTGAATGGGTAGTACATAATGGAATGGTAATAATAGTTCAAAATTTAATTCCCCCCTACCCATTTGATAAAAATGGAAGCAAAAGGGTAATGGATAGGACTCTTAGTCGAACGAGCCCGATTTGAGTTTGAAAAATTTGTTTCTTAATCAAACTTAAAAAATTGATCAAGTTTAACTCGTTTAAGAAACGAGCCGAGCCTGAACGAGCCAAAAACAAGTTGAGCTCGAGTCGAGTTTGAGGCAAACTTTTAGGGTTTGTTTTTTAAACGAACCCAAAAATTTATTCAAGTTTAAACTTGTTTAAAAAATAAATCAAATTTGAACAAGCCAAATCTGAATTGAACTCGAGTCAAACTCAAGTAACTCAGTTTGATAAACAACCTAATAATGGCGCAATAGGACAAGAATGAGCATATCCTTTGTTGGCCCATAGCTTATTAGAATCATTTTTCACAAATTGGCAGAATTGTCCCAATCATAACAAAATATCAAATTAAGTTGGGAGAATTATACTCAAACTCTTTAAAGTTTGTCACTTAATCACTTAGATCCCTTAACATTTAAAATATTATATACAAATCTCCTAAGATTTATACACGCGTAACACTTAGATCCTACTGTTAAATGTCTAGTAGTATATTCGTCAGTAAATTACACTCCGACCCTCTGAAGGTGTAGGTGTATAATACTTAGACCCTCAAGTTTAAAATGTTATATTTAGAGTAACAATACTCAAATCAAAATAGAATATCAAATATTTTAAATTTTATAACCAAAATTCATATTATATTTTATCATTTATTGAAATAAAATCAAAAATTAAAAAAAACCAATTTTTTCTTAAAAAATTATAATTAGTATACAATTAAATTATTTATTTGAAAACAACTAAAAAAATTAAACAAGGGGTTTATGTCATTCATAATAGCACATGAATTTTACGATCAAAGTTCATGTTCCATTATAACATTTATTGAAATAAAATCAAAAATAAAAACCTAATTTTTTCTAAAAAATCATAATTAGTATACAATTATACTATTTATTAGAATAAAACTACAAAATCAAATAAGGGGTAAAACAATAATAGACACAATATATTCAAGCTTTAATTGGGATAATTTGATAGTTTAATTTGATCATTTAAAAGACCAAATTAAATTTCAATAGATAGTATAACTGTATACTAATAATGATTTTTGAATAAAAAATTTGATTTTTATTTTTATTTCAATAAATGTTATAATAAAACATAAATTTTAGTTGTAAAATTTAAAATATTTAATATTCTATGTTTGATTAAAGTATTTTTTATCTAAGTATAACATTTTTAACTTGAGAGGTCCAAGTATTTTATGCCTACAAATTTCAAGGAATTTGGATGTAATTTACTAACAGATATATTAACTGACATTGACGACAGGGGTCCAAGTGTTACAAATGTATAAATCTCAAGGAATTTGTGTGTAATATTTTAAATGTCAGGGGATTTAAGTGATTGAGCGACAAACTTTAAAAATGTGTGAGTATAGTTCTCCCAAATAAGTTGAGTACTTGAAAATTTAAAGAAGTAAATAACTACAACTAAGGGTAATTCAAGTGGTAACCAATATAAACTATAAATTCAGACGTCCTGAGTTTGATTATTGATAATTTTTTATAGTCAAGTCATGAATAGCACTGATAATCGAACAACTCGAGCTGAACTTGTCGAATTCATTTTTTTAAACAAGCTTGAACGAGTCCAATCTTAATCCAAACGTGGATGAGAGGATTAATCGAGGTGCACGTAAACTAACCTAAACATCCTGACCAAAATAATTTTATTGAAAAATTTAAGAACTACTATTACGGTTCTAAATTCGAAAGAGGTAAAATATCCTTGTTTATCAATACTTTCGATTGAAGAGTGATTACGTATATCTAAAATTTTCGTTATAACTCCAAAAAAAAATAAACAAAGACACGAGGTTACAGTAATTTGAAGCTATGTGAATGAAAATAAATAGTGAGAAGGGGAGCTTCAAATAAACCAATCAAACCTGAATCTTGGCTGTGGAATAGTATGATATGCTTAGGTCAACGGTTCCTTTAATATTGCCAGCAGAAGAGATAACAGTAGCAGCCCCAATGTCGTCAATCAAGGTTGCTATTGCTCCCACGTGCCAATCGCCATTCTTGTCCTAAACAATCAAAGAACGTTCGTTGTATAGTTTTAATCGTAGTAACCAAGAAAAATTATGAACAAAGAAAGAAGGTTTAGGTCTTAATCTAAATAAACTAAGAGAAATCACGATTAAGAACGAAGGGTTGTGTTAGAAAAAGATGATTGATACTCACAGATAGGTGCGGTGGAATGGTGAAATTGCATCGGATTAGACCCTTTTCGCATTTCTCAATCTGCAGGCCGCCAAGAATTAAGCCATCCAGCTCCTTATCTAAGCCTTTTGACATGCCTTCAACCCATTTCCGGGCTCTTTGCGGTGGGTCGTCTTCCATAGTCTCTCTCTCTATCTCTCTCTCTCACACACACACACACATAACGTGGAATGCTTGAACCTTATTGTAGAAATGTTGGGCTCCTCTTCCACCACAAGGAAAATCTCATTATTTTATGGTATTAATACATATTATATGTGGCTGTGAATATCAATTTAGAATTACGTATAAACCCTAACCCAGGAAACCCAAGTGGTAACGATCAATTTAGCCGGTGAGTTCGAATCTTGACAATTTATTGGAACCAAAATATGAGAAATTTAGAGCCTGTTTGGATTGTGTTTCAAAAATTAATATCTGAAAATAGTTTTTGAGAATAGTTTTAAGAAGGTGGTTTTGATTTTTTTGAGATAAAAAACTTGTTTGGTTGGATGATTTCAAAAATAATTTTATAATATAAAAAATAGTAAAATTTGTTTGAACATCCTAAATATATATTTGAACATTAATTCAAACATTAATAAAAAAAATTTTAAAATTTATTTTTAGATTGAAAATTTCATTATATATATATATATACATATATATATATATATATA